TTTAAAAAAAAGTACATTGGATACCTCAGGATTACGGTAAACTGACCATTGTTTCTGACTCAACAACTTCTATGTTAAGTTTTTCATTGAATTTACATGATATTAAACCTGTTTATTGGTAACATTCTGCAGTAGGTAAATGCTGTTGCGCGTTGTTCTTTTAATTTGAGGAAATTGGTACTGGAAAGTCCTTGAAAGGTCCTTGAATTTGATGTTGATCAAGGTGTGGGAACCCTGTCTGTCCTGGTGAGTTCTTGTTATGATGCATTGATGCTTTGCATACGTGCGTGGGTCATATATGGTACCGCTATGCTGTATCTAGTTTTTTTTTTTTGTAAGAATTCACTCACAAGTGAATCGCTCTGAAGCGTGCTGCATCGGGGTCCCACCAACATTTTCCCTGACTTTTCTCACAGTAACAACATGCCAGAGCTGCTACCTCACTCGTTAGTTATCCACCTAAAGCACACAGCTCGAAAGCCTCGCTTTGAGAAGACGGGGCTCTGCGTTTTCCATTTGCTATGCTGCTTCTGGCTTTGATGGATCAAAGAGCGCGTTGGGGAGAGCCAGAAGAGTCTGGGCCACTGCAGCTAAACAAAACCCTGAGAGAGGAAGATGACTGAAGGCTGGCAATGAGAGGAGGATGAGGATGGGTGCGTGGAGATGGAGAGGGTCAAGAGGGTTTGGAGTTTCACCAGCTGGACCCACCTGAGGAAAAGCAGCACCGGCTGTAGAGGAAAGGTTTCAGTGAGGAGCAAAATGAGCAAAATGAAGGAATTTTATTGTTATTACGTATTTTTAAACAGAAACCTCTCTCGAATTACCACTGTGTTCAGACATGCAGCCAGGACTTGAATTCTGAGCAAGTTAGAACAAGCTAGGTTAGTCATGAACAGGGAGCAAGAAGTGAGAGGAAGGTCCGAGTCTGGAGAGGTGAAAGAACGGAAACACTGGAATGGACAGATGATGTGTGACGGAAGAAAGGCTGCGATTAGAAGGAATTTCCTCCTGTAGCGCAAGAAAACCCTGATGAAAACCAAGGATAAAACATTTAAATTAACACCAAATGGGACAGTGTACTTATGTTAACAGGAAAGTGAAAAAGGATGGGAGAGCAGAGCTGGATGAGAGGAAGGGTAAGGAAGACTAAGGGTGGGAGATACTAGATAAAAGATCAGATGAGGTAAGAGTCGTGGCAAAAGGGATAAAAGGAGATGAGGAGAAATGGGTGGAGGTCTGTTAGCAGGAAGTTTGTGCGTAAATGTTGGCTGGCGGGGATGGAATCTGGTGTGTTGTGGGGTGTTTTCTCTGGCTCAACAGCCACCCTTTACGGGCCCCTCGCCTGGGCACAGGGAGAGAGGGATGAAGGGGAAGGAAAGGAAAGAAATTGCAAATTGAGCGCTGAATGAGTCTTCTGAAATTTGTTAAAGACATCTAACAAGCAAAACGGAAGCTCAACTCAGCGAAATAGCCAGAATTAACAAAAGCATGGCTAAAACATAAACAGGAAATGAATAGTGTAAATGAAGTAAAGATGAAATTGGTGGGAAAAGGGAGGGGTTTGATTTCTAAACATCAGCTTGGATCAGTTTTCACCTCAAAAAAGAGAAATCAAGACGAGAGAAGCAAAAACATGAAGGATTGAAAAGTTGCACACCGCGCCCCCGGTCACGGAAAAGACTCGTTCCCTCTCAAAGTGACTCATGCAGGAACAACATTGTCATGTTTGTCATCTGATAGCTATCGTTTAGCGAAAAGCTTGTTTTTCCTGCATTTTTTTTTTCAAACACAACAGTTCTCAGTTTAGTTCCTTATCAGCTCCTCTGCTTTCCTGTTGATGTCTGAAATGACGTCAGAGCAGTGGCGAGCCACCGAGCCTCACGCTAAAGAAAGAAAGTCAGAAAAGCTCGACGCAGATTTGAGTGTGAGGAGGCGCACCTCCCAGGTTCAGGGTCTCTTCAACTTCCCCTCGGTGCACAATGAAACATAGACAAGCCCTTGTCCCTTTCCTGGATCCAAATAAACAGTCCAAAAAGAGTTTTGTTTTTTGGCAGGAACATGGCTGTGCATGAGTGTGTGGACATGTGTGGGTTACATAAGCATGATTGTGACCCACTCTCTATTAGAGCTTCTGGTTTGCTTCGGTTACAGTTCATCGGCCTTTGGGCCAGTACCAGACATGGACATGGGAATCGGACGGGCCGTTCTGTTTGTGTCTCACTGCTCCAGCTGTGCAGCTCCGTATTTGGCTTTGTGTTTGCTCATACTTAACGTTTTGTAAACAAGCGTTTGAACTCGTGTATATTTGGCACTTAACACGTCATTTAACAGTGTCGGCTGTTCTCCATTATTACGCAGTATTCTAGTTGACAAATTTACTGTTTCTTTGTTGTACACATCATTTAGTTACATTTCAGTGTCCCAACATTTTGGAACATATTGTGCATTCATTAGTTGGTCATTTAGTCAAGCAATTTGTTAAAATACTGGTTTCAGTCAAAACCTAGATGTTAATTTTTAGTTAGTTAAGTTTATTCATTTCTTTAAAAACAACAGCAAAAATACAAATCATAAATTAAATGAAAGGTAGCTGAAGATTAAAAAATCTTATTATATCTGCCCCTTTTTCTCAAATAAATAAATTCAATCCAAAATAATCTTCAGTTTACAAAAAAATAATAAAGCTTTAACTCCTTGAACAACCATTCATACATTTACATATTTCTCCAGCAAATTAACCTTTAGCATTCTCTTAAATATACACATTGATCTGGATCATTGAATTTATCAGAGTCAACAGATGGAAATGCTTTCTATGCAAAAGGTCAGTATAACATTTCGCTCAGAGGTCAGTATGCTACTTTTAGCCAACGCTCTATGAAGTCAGCTTTCAAAAGGTTTTGACCTTTTTTAAGGCTAAATATCTTAATTCCAAATCTTTCCGATAAGATTTATTTCTAAGGGATGGGAATTAAGCTGAGGTAATCTGTTATTGATGTACAACCAATGATTACTTTTATTTCCTCCTTATTCTTTTATTTTGGTGCCATTTCTTGGTGGATTTAGCTTTAAACACTCTTGGAAACGATATAGAAATAACAGTTGAATCAATGATCGCAAGCTGCTCCGTCCCTGAAGACCGTGAAGCAACATTAGTCACATTTTTTTGTTTTAAAAGCCCCGGAGGAGCGTTTTCTGGCTCTGGCTTGAAGACTCATTTTATAAGCAATAAAACTGCAGAGCTCAAATTTCAGCAGCTGGTCTGAAATCTTTGATTCTGACTTAATGGATTTAGAGGATTAATGTGAAGATGTTCAAACAAATGGCTTGTAAATTATTTTGACAGTGAAATAAATAAATAATATCAGAAGGTGATGCTCTATTTCCAACATTGCAGGATAAGTAAGTAATTAAATTTTCATAGATACACATCACATACTGCTTCACATGAAGCAAAACTAAAATAAATGCAATATAAGCATAAAAGCATACAATAAAATAAGTTAATATGACTAATAAAACATGTAATACTTTTAGCTAAAAGCTTGTCAGAACAACACTTTGTTAATGTTAAGCTGTTAGGGGCTCTTGCTTGAAAAGACAGGTTTCTTCAAGTCTTAAAGCTGGTTTTGGGAACCTTCAGGAGATTTGGGCCTGAAGACCAAAGATTGCAGCCAGAAGAATAAAGAGTCAACATTTCTGTAACATATTGAAGAGTCTGTCCATTAAGAGCTCTAAAAATCAAGACTAAATTCAATTCCCAAGTTGACAATAACCAATGTAAAGAGGATAAAACTGGTGTAATGTGTGCCCTTCTGTTAGTACCAGTTTGTTTATTTACCATTATTTAACCAGGCAAGTTAAATAATCAACGGGACTTCAATGGCAAGAACCAATGAGATCTCAGATCTCTTTTTCAATGGAGGCCTTGGCCTGAAGGCAACCTATTGCACATGTTTTTAGATGTCGGGGAAATCGAATTACCTGGAGAAAACCCACACAAGCAGGAGGAGAACATGCAAACTCCACACAGAAAGACCCCAGGTCCGAACCCAGGACTTTCTTGCTGTGAGGCATCGGTGCTAACCACTGAGCCGTCGTGCTGCCAGTTAAAAGCCTTGGTGCAGCGTTCTATAACAGCTGCAAACGAGCGGCTGCAGATTTGTTAAAACGTATAAAAAGAGTTACAAATGTCTAAACGAGAAGAGATAAAAGATGATCTGTGATTTCTCAAAGTCGTATCATCAATCAAACTGCTGTTAGGATCGGTTCTACATATAATATTAGAATAAAACATCTGAAATTCTGTTTGTTTTTTGGTGTGCCAACCCAAGACTAACACCAGACGCCCCCCCGGTCATCACTCTGGGTGCAAACATTATGGTGTTCTAAACACTAAACATAACATGCTAAGTATTTGAGATCTGTGCTGGTAATGTGATTCACAACTAAAAGTATTTAGTATAAAGTTATTTTTGAATTCTCTGTCTCAAAGCATCAATGTTGCATGTTGAAATTTTGGCTATTATTTTCTTTTTATTGGTCTGGAGGGATGTCATCTGGAATTGTAGCTCTATTAGGATAAACTCCAAACCGTTATTTGAAGGGATTTCCCAGCGCTCTGGCAGCCGGCAGGGAAAAGTGATCAGTTTCAAAGGAAATTAAAAGGATTATTTCAAAGATATACCTGTTGTTCATTAGCGAGATGCGTAACATAGTTTAGCTCATTGAAGCTAACCATATCACTCTTATGTCTCATTGCAAGATACCCAAAGAAAACTAATTTAAAATAATCTAATAAAACTTAAAACTATTTATAATTTTATAATTTTCTTGTCCTTATATTGTTTCTTTGAACACTTGTTAATAATTTCCCAGCTCTGACAGGTCACTGTCTTGAAGCAAATGTAGTTTATTTTATTGTTTGTTGGTTTTGTGTGCAATCAAGTTGTGTTTTTAACATGTGGCTGTTTTTCTTTTTTTTTTTGTGTAAATTCCAGCTGACCTCTGCGTGCATCCCAGCTCCCTCGAATGATCTGGTAAGTCTTCTTCATTTACTTATTTCGTTTCCTCAAGAGTTTACAAGACAAGTTTTCCCACCACGGCTATCCACAGTTTGAAAGTATGATTCCCCCAAAACCACTGTACGGTTTCCTGAAAGCTAAATTCCTTCTGGGAAGCCAAACCTCTCCGATCGGTCGGAGCTCATTGGTTCATTTCTGGAGCAAAATTTGAGCGGAGAAGAAGAAAAAATGGACACTGCTCTAGGAAGTAGTTGTGTTTACCCATTAGGGGAGTCTTGTTTGTTTAATTAACTCTCCTTTCCTTCCTCTATTCCCTTTTCTAAACTCCTCTCTTTTCTCCTCCCTCCCCTCACCCTGCTTCCTGTCACTCCTCTTCTCTCTTCTTTCTTTTTATCATTGCCATTTTTTTTCTTCCAGCAACGCAGAGGGACAGCTCCTTCTCAACACAATCAACACATGGTGAGCACACTTCTTCCCCTGTTTTCCCTCAGTACCCTCCCCTTTTCTCCTCGTGTCCTCAGTGTCACACGTTCTGTCAGAAATGTTCAAATCTTCAAGGGGAGAGGGGGAAAAACGGATTTCATAGCTCTGATATTAATTTAAAACAGAGTCAATGAAAACAAGAGCAATGAGATCCAGTGACGCAGCAGCAGTAGTAGTGTTCTTTACCTGCAATAAATTAGTAAGGTTGGAGTTTGGGCGACGATTTCAAAGTTAATGTTTGGAATTAATGGTATAAAAAAAAGAGTGTGCAGATAAGACGACTACACAGCACCTCAGATTTGTCTTTTTCTACAATTTCTGTGCTATTTCACAAATTCATGTAGCAAAACGTTCAGCTCCTCCAGGACATTCCGGCTGACTTTTGGCATTTTAGCTATTTATACTATTTATACTAAAAATTTGCTATTTCACTGTTTCAGCCACATTTTTCCCATTTTAAAATGAATGGAGCCACTTTCAGTATCCTTAAAACCCTTCAAAACCTTTATAAATCTTCATTGCACACATTTTGTTCTGGTTCAGCTCATTTTAGCTTCCTTGTGCTATATTTACTTTGTTTTGTTAATTTTAGCATTTTCTGCTCTTTCTTTTTAAAATTTGGCTCCTTTCTGCTATTCTTCTGCTAGAAGAATAGTACTGTACTTTTTTGGGCTTTCAGCTTCTCTTTGGTAACTTGAGCTCTTGTTTCCTTCAGTTGCTTTCTGCTTATTATTTCAGCTGTTTGCTGTAGTTTTAGCTACTGTTCAACTGTTATTAGTTCAAATACTTTTTAAGCTAAATTTACATTTTAGCTACTTTCTGCTAAGTTCTGCAAACAGGAGCTCCTTCTTCTTTATGCTAAATTCAGCGTTTTTAGCTACATTTTAGCTGTCAATGCACATTTCGGTTGTTTCAGCTATTTTACAGCAAATCACAACTTTTATGTACTTTCATTCTTTTTTCTGCTAATTTAGCTTTTTTACACCACGTTCACATCTATAAGCTAATTTTAACTTTTCTGCAACCTTTAGCTTTTTTATGCTAATTTTAGCTTCTTCCTTTTATTTTAACTATTCAGCTAATTTATGCATTTTTTTGCTTCTTTCTGCTAATTTGAGCTTTTTATGCTCCTTTCAGTTTTCTGCTTATTTCAGCTGTTTGCTGTAGTTTTTGCTACGGTTCAGATGTTATTAACTAAAAATAGTTTTATGGTGCGTTCACACCAAACGCGATTTCAGCATCAGGAGCATCAGGTTTACATACAAAGTCTATGGTGGACGCGCTTCAAGCAGCATCAGGAAGTGCTGCTTGAAGCGCGATTAGAGCAGCGCGATTTGAATGATTTGAACGATCTGAGTGTTCGACGCGCTGAGGCGCAAATAGCTGAAGTTAGAAAATCTGAACTTTTGCAGCTCGACGCGCCGCGTCAACCAATCAGAGAGACTCCACTGTGTGACGTAGAGACATATTTCCTGACGGGACAGTTTACTGAATGATGTCCACTAACCTGAAACAGATGGAGAGGAGCTCTTTAGCTGAAATCGAGTGCCTGCAGTCGGTGTTCTGACAGGAGATATCCTCACCAATGCGTGGTAGCAGCTCATCAGGCTGGACTCGGGACAAAAATAGTCCTGAAAGCGAGCTGTGAGCCTCTCCCGCAGCTCCTGGGTGATGAAACTCAGAATGTCTCTGAATTATCTGGTGAATTAATTATGAATTAATTATCTGATGAACGTGACATGCTCTTGCTCTCTGTAAATAAAGCAAAGCCACTTCCTCGTCCGACATTAAACAGAGCCCGACAGAGGAGGGAGGGGCGGGGAGGCTCTTCCCGTGCAGCGCTTCAAGAGCTGACCTGCGTCTGACCTCAAAGTGCACGAGCGACCAACTTCAGCGTTGGCTGCCATTTTGAAGCTGAAATCGTGTTCGGTGTGAACGCAGCATAACAGCTAAATTCACATTTTAGCTTCTTTCTGCTAAGTTTTACAAACTGGAGTTCCTTCTTCTTTATGCTGAATTCAGCATTTTCAGCTACATTTTAGCTGTTTTGATGCGCATTTCAGCTATTTTACAACAAATTACAACTTTTTTGTACTTTCATTATTTTTTCTGCTAATTTTGCTTTTTTTTACACCACGTTCACCATCTGTAAGCTAATTTTGACTTTTCGGCTACCTTTAGCTTATTATGCTAATTTAGCTTTTTTATTTTATTTTAAACTAATTTATTCTTTTGTGTTTCTTTCATGTTTCAAATGAACCTTTCAGCAAGAAGCAGTCGTAAAAACATTTTCGTAGGATATGCATTTTCTCTAGTTTTTTTTCTTTTGTTTTCCATAGGGATCTACTAAGTCCCTAAACTACACCAAACAGAGGAACACCCTACCAAGGTACAGTATGTAGCAAACACATCTAATACGTATTGCCTGGGGGGCGGGGTTATATTTAACTCTCCACTGCTGTCAGCTCTAATCTGTGTCTTTTACATTCATTCCTCAGACTAACGACCTCTTTATTCTCACTGGAATCTTTAATGTCACAAGTGTGATTTAGTACACAAAAGTGATCTGACCTAAACGTTACACAGACTATCCAGTTTCTCATTCTTCCCTCGTTTGTTTCTGTCCGTCAGACTTTGTGCGAGATTTCACGTCACGCTACGAGGAGAGATCTGTAGCTGCGTTTGAAAGTTTGTTAGAGGTTGACTTGAACTGTAATCAGATTCTCACGAATGTCCTAGAAGTAGAAATGGAGAACCCAATTTAACAACTGAAACAAAAGCTAATATTTTTTTGTTATTTTTAATCAGGTAAATTAATAAATGATTATTAAGACTTACTTTTAAAGTAAAATCAAAGTCTGTATCACACTGGGCGGACTGTTGGAGCCTAGTTGGAAACACAAAATCAGGAGAAAAATGCACAGTTCTTTTGAAATTAACAAAACAGGAGTCAGAGCACAGTAGTTGTCCCAATTACACAATTTTGTAAACTTTTGCAACCGATTGGATTTGTCTCTTTTAAAATGCAGCTAACAATTATTTTAGTAATCGATTAATCTATCAATTATTCTGACGATTAATCGAGTAATCGGATATAAAAAATTGTGATGTTCTGCAGTAATTAAGCTTATTTTATGAGAAATACAATTATTTAATATTGTGAAGGGGTAATATATACCTGCTGATGACCCTGCTGCAATCAAAGTAAAATTACAATACCAGTTGTATTAATTCATGCATTTTAAACTCCAGTTACTTGTATTTATGTGTTAGGTTTGAGGAGGCATTAATTAAAAGCACTCTGACATTGAATCATTTTTAAACATCACAGAAAAATCTAAATGCTGTAAATTTATTGTTATGGATTGGAAAACTGAATGTCTTTTTATTTTTTAGTTAGAAACTTAATAAGTAAAATGGGTAATATAAACATTTGGCTGTTGCAGTTGAGTTTTGTAGAGTTCTCTCGTTAATTGTAACAAAAAATTCATAATTTTAAAGAATTTTATTAGGTTGGTGCAGAGTTCCCATTTAGGCAATAAAAGATTTAATCTTGACTGCTTAGCTATAAACAAATATGACAGAAGTAATGAAGGAAATTATAAAAAAACAGCAGCAAATAATTAAAGAAATCCAACTATTTTCTATAAATACTTTGAAACTTGAAATATTCACTCCAAGTATCTCATTTAAATTAAGATAAAAGCATATCAACAAATAAAAGTATTTCAGCTCAAGCTGTCAATCTGTTGTTGTGCTTTTATTTTTATCTGACAAACTTACAGTAAATATTGTTTTTAATCACACAACTTATGTACACACAGTTTAATAAAACCCTGCCAGGTCACCATGAGTAGTCAGCACAAATAACATTAGCTTAAATATACCTCCTCCTTGTACATCTGTAACGTGACAGATTATCACAGATTAAAGGAACGTAAACAAATCCCTGTTAACTCTGGAAGCGTTCGGTACATACAGCAGCCATTTTTGTTCCGGTGCAGAAACATCGAGGACGTGAAGCACATTGTTGTCTTTTCTGTTTAGTTATAAATGTTTCCATGCATTTTATAGTTTATTATCTGAGCACTTTGCTTTGGCACTCTTCGTCTTCTTCTAAAGCTAAATATAGCGCTTAGCAAACATACACTCATCGACAGTGTAACTGTTAGCGGAAGCGCTAACGTCGTAGCATTGTGTAACAAAAATAACATTCCGGGTGGACGAAAGTGTGCTGATTATATATTTTATAAACATATTTTTTTACGAGGATTTTTTTGTAATCTAATTACTCAAATTATTCGAGGAATCGTTTCAGCCCTAGTCTCTTTCTGTTGAAATAAAAGTACAAGAGGTGTCTCAAACAGAGCATCGGCATAGTCCACACTTCCTGTCTGTCCTCTCGTTTCACCAGGAGCTTCAGCGTGGACCGCGTGATGGAACGTGTGATGGAGCGCCACTACGACTTCGACCTGACCTACATCACAGAGAGGATCATCTCTGTCTTCTTCCCTCCAAAACTGGAGGAGCAAAGATACCGGCTCAACCTGAAGGAGGTGGCTGCCATGCTCAAATCCAAACATCAGGACAAGTTTCTGGTGAGGGAGCRGCAAGCAGACGCCCGGATCTCAGCAGACTTTTGGAAAACGATGCAGTTTGCTGTTAAAGTGGTTTTTATTTCCTGTTTCAGCTGCTGAATCTCTCAGAGCGACGCCATGATATCACCCGGTTAAACCCAAAGGTAGGACTTTTCCCTCACTTGGAGACAACCATAGAYTTAAATAATAACCCTAGACTGAGCCCCACCCATCCCGTCCACTGTTAGCGTCTGTGACAACATGGAGGAGCAGAAACAGTGACTAAACAGAGCAACAACTAATTGATAAACGGCAAACTGAACCGGATCTGTTTCACAGGTTATCTGTCATGTTTTTACAATAAATTAATAACTATGTTAATTTCATTCAACAATCGTAAAACAGCAGATTTATACCAGAAAAATATATAATTTATAAGTAACAATGATCTAAACCAGACCTGAAGTCAGCCTGTAACTTAGACTTTAGCTAGTTGAAAAGTGATGACTTCAGCTAGTAATAAAGTATATTTATTATTTCTTCTTACTGTCATAAAAAATAATAATATTTATATTTACCAGTCAACAGTTAGAAAATATTCTCTGGTTATAGGATGAAACTTGTCTCTATTAGCTAACATCTTAACAAGTCAGGTTCCTCTAACAGGAACCTAAAAATACTCACATTTATAACATTATTTTACACTCTGTAGGTCTAAATATTAATCAGACATTTATAATATTATTTTACACTCTGTAGGTCTAAATATTAATCAGAGGAAAAAGTAATATTTAATAGTTTGTGTTAAATTGTAACATGATTCAACAGAGCTAAACTCTGTATTTATGCTCCACAAGCTAATATCTGCTAACCAGTTTAATAAATAACAGTGATTACATGGACTTTATCAGATTATTTTAATTTTAAACTGTTACATTATGTTCTGCTCAGATCACATTGAGCTAAATAAGATCAAATCTGCTGACTTGTTGTAAAATGAGACGTTTTCCTGTTTATCTTCTGTTAATAAATCCATAACACAAACAGCTTTTCTGGCATTACATTAGATAGATTAGATAAACTAAAATATTAATAATAATTGGATTAATATTATTATTAATAGTTTTAATGATTTCTACATCATCAGTCCTTTTTTTTCTGCTCTGTCACCAACATGTACAGTAATGGGAAATCCAGCCGTTTAGCTTTACCCCTTAGCTTCTGCTGCCGATCACACGCTCACCTGGTTTCTGAGCACTGCAGCTGTTCTGTACACCTCCAKGACACAACGGATCATAATCCTCAGTTTATCCTCAGATCGTACTCTTTTGTCGTGTCTCCGTAACAGGTTCATGACTTYGGCTGGCCCGACCTCCACGCCCCGCCGCTGGATAAGATCTGCGCCATATGCAAGGCCATGGAGACCTGGCTGACCTCTGACCCCCAGCACGTGGTGGTCCTACACTGCAAGGTCAGAGTTCGGGAGGCCGCTGAGCCTTTTAAGGTGGACTTCCTGTGTTTTCCCAGGCTCCTCAGCACACAGATGTAGATCGATGTTTAAGGGACGGACGGTTTYGTCAAAGCTGGAATTACTGATGCCCATTGTTGTTGTTTTTGTTTCAGAAAAGTAGTTGTTGGGTATGAWTGAGCYCCTASAATTAKTATTTCCCTTGGTCTGAAGAAGTGAAATGTTAAAACCAGGCTACCTTTTCGGGTTCGCCGACTCTCCAGAACATTCCAGCTGCAGGAAAGAACTATTTGTCAGCCGCAGATCAGTTGTTGTCACTGAGGAGAAGTCCTCCGCTGGGAGAGGCGCGCTGCAAAACAAGCTTTAATTTGTGCTCATTGTGTTCGAGGGGCCTTCCTACTGCTATCTGGAGGGGTCRCTCGTGGAATTCGGTCCTGGAATGTCTCTGGAATGTGTCAGGAAGTGGGGAGCAAAGCACCGCAGGGAGCTTTTTAATTTGAAGCATTTCCCCCTCTGGTTCTGTTGTTTTCKGTCTCACCTTTTCTCCGTTTGTGTCTCTCGTTGTCGTTCGAACTGTCGCATCTGAAAAGCTGCGTAAACCGGCCGAACGATGACCTTTTGCTTCCCWCTCCTTCCTACAGGGCAATAAAGGGAAAACTGGCGTGATCGTCGCAGCCTACATGCACTACAGCAAGATCTCTGCAGGGTGAGTGTGTGTGTGTGTCGGAGAAATCCAAAGCCACAATTAAATTTCTGCTTTCTTCCAATGTCCACACGTTGATTGCATTAAATGTTGCTGAGGTAAAACCCAGGAACATAATCAAATTCAACTATTCAGCCGTCMRGTTATATTAAATTTATCAGCCATATATCAGTTGGCTTATTTAAAGAGGYAAATTATTTTTATGCAGACTCAGTTGACGGTTTTGTTTGATGAATTAAGCCTGCTGGATTCTGCACAGGAACAGTGGAAACTGCTTTATCCTGTGGCCTGGGCCAGCTGTATCCTTTCCATGTACTTCTGGAGTCTGATGCACGTCCCATGATGGAAAAATGGTTGACTGGAAGCTCAAAGTGTGTGTGTTTGTGTGTATCTGTGTGCAGGGCAGACCAGGCTCTCAGTACTCTCGCCATGAGGAAGTTCTGTGAAGATAAGGTGTCCTCCTCCCTCCAGCCGTCACAAAACAGGTAGAGGCCACGGGATGATCTGATGGGAAATGAGGAGTTGGGGGGATCATACATCATAGATGACCTTATTTAATACATCCTATTTACAGGACAAGGAAAAGGAAACAGTTCCTAACATTAATCWCTTCAACTCTACAACTGCTGCATTTATCTTTAGGCTCATGCTGTCACTGAGGCCTTTTTGACCCAAACAACAATCAGAGGCCAGGCTTTATGATTTAGAGAGCTGAAATTAAATTACACATCTCAATTCCAATGRAGTTGTGTAAAACGATGAGCTCCTGCCCAAAAAAGCTGGCGGCGTTTCTGGGTCTTGATATACATCTTTCACTTTGCATGGTAGAGTTTTAACTTGCACCGTGTTCACTGACAGTTTTCTGTAATCTTCCTGAGTCCATGTGGTAATATCCCTTACAGAATGATGTGGGTTTTTTTTTTTAATGCAATTCCGCCTAAAGGATCGAAGGTCACGGGCATTTGTTGTTGGTTTTCAGACTTGCAGYTTACTTGCAGATAGGGGTGTCCCAATCCAATATAAATATCTGTTATCGGTAGAAAAATGAGTATCGGATTATATCAGCATGTAAAATCTCTGATATTAACATTCAGATACAAGCAGTCCACCCGTAGTACGCTCAGGATTTCTATCCAGGATAAACAGCTTAAGTGAGCTTGTATTATTTTAAACTTTAAAGTACATTTTGTTTTTATTGGATTTATTGAGGTAATTCATCACTGTCTTCTATTTTATTATTTATTWGTTGTATTTATTTGTACTGTATTCTTATGTTTAAGTTATAAAGTTATGTAACCCATTGGTTAATGGGACCAGTCTTTCTCGTACCGACTGTTGTTGACTATTGTTTACTGTTTGACTTGATCAAGACTTTTTAAGATTCCACGATACAAAAAAGTAATAAAAATATACGATTCGTTCTATCACATCGGGTCGAAATCGGTATCGGCCAAAACCTTTTTTTTTTTCTCAGCTGTTCATTGGGATGTAAATGGTAGTTTTTTGTTGATGTATATTTTGTCATATTTATGTAAGTATTTAGATATAATACAGATTTTTTTTTAATTGGGGGCAGATGTGATTCTTCTTTCTGCTACTTTTCATTTAATGATATTATGCTTTTTTTGCTTGTTTTTTAATATTGTTTGTTTTTTGTTGTTTAAATGAAATAAAAAAAAAACTCAAGGCTGAAATATCTGGTATCAGAAGTGGAAAAGCTGTATGGGGACACCCCTACTTGCAAAGATTTGCCCAAATTCTCTGAATATTTCGATAATAGTATGAACTGTGGATGATGAATTACATAAATCCTTTGCAGTTGTATACTGAGAAACGTTCTTAAACTGTCGGGACTATTTGCTGACACAGCTGTGAACCTCGCCCCATCCTTGCTTTTGAATGACTGAGCCTTTCGGGGATGCTCATTTTATACCCAATCATGACAATCACCTGTTACCCATAAATTTTTTCACCTGTGG